TCTGTCTCTATGTCTCTCTGTCTGGCGAGCGCACGCGCCCTATAGCAAAAACCTCTCCAAAAAAAAAAAAAGTTACAGGAAAGGGTGCAGAGGAGAGCTTAGCACCAGCTCTGTGTGAGAATCTGGAGGATGGCCCGGGATCAGGCAGCCCCCAGGCTGGGGGAGGCACACGCCATCAGGACGCGGTGCCAGGGTGGCCAGGAACGGGCCCAAAGGGGGGACGGCGTGCTCACTTTCAAGGCCGCTCAGGATGAGGGCCTCCGCTCGGATACATTCGCCAAGGCGTGCTTCTAACTGTGGCCTCCAGAACACCAACCGACCCGCCATGCCTGCCTCACACCTGAGCACGCCTGGGTCCGTGGGTGGGCGGCAGAACAGCAGGAGGGCCAGGCCCTCAGCCCGAGAACACAGGGCCCACAGGAGCCCCCTCCCCAAGGAGGAGCCCAGGCCGCCGCACCCACCCGCCCCACCTTACCACGGCATTGCGCTCCACGCGGGCCCGAATCTGGTCCACTTTGCCCTCGGCCACTCTGGGGAAGATGGAGGAGTCGGCACCTTTGCAGAACAGATAGATGTCCCCTGCAGGGCGAGAAAGCCAGAGACCAAGTCAGGCTTGCAGACCCCGCTGTGCCCTGGTCAGGCAGTGGCGTGAGGAGAATGACGAATGGGCCCAGGGGAGATGCGGTGAAGGCGGCTGGATCCCTCATGGCTGACTTCTTGGTTCACATCCCAGACCTGATGGCTTAAAAATCATGCTGGAGTGTGCACGCGTGCACACGGGCCCGGAATCTCACAAGGAGAGTGGAGAAGGGATGGTGCGAGGCCATCCCCTGGGCGGGGACAGGCAGGCTGATTTCTCGTTTTCCCTCTCTGGTGAGGGAAAGGAATGCCCTATGGCAAAAACTTAAAAAAAGTTAGAAAAAGAAAAGACATATCCCAGCACTGAGAGCGTCCTACGGGAGAACGGGGCAGTTCAGACGCTCACGCCAGGAGACAGCCCAGGCCGCAATCACCCCACAACCCCACGAATGTCCAGAAGGTCAGGGACCAGGAGAGGAAGTGGCCCGGGGTTCTGCCAGGTGAGGACAAAGGCGCAGGAGGGCTGGCGGGTGCAGATGACAAAGCACGAGTGTGCAGACCCAGGGCCAGCAGCCTGCTGAAATGGAAAGGCCAAGTGACGTCCCGGGAAAGCAAGACGCCGCTGCAGAAGGAACAGTCGCGGCCCGGGCCACCAAAGCTGAGGGAAGCAGGTAGGTGCCTCCTGTCCCTGCTCCTGAGTACAGCTACGTCCACCGCAGACACACGCTTGTTCCTCGAGATAAAGTGCTTCTCTTTCAGAGCGGCCAGGACACACCAGGGCGTGGCCACAAACCCCAAGAGAATGAATGCGATGCTCTCCCGGTTCAGGTGCCCTTCCCTGCCGGCCACAGACGTCCTGGCCTGGGGCTGAGCCACGCTGAGCCAGGTCGTGCTCTGGCTCGGCGACTGCGGTGCCCAGGCAGGCCCCGTGCGCGCTGCGGTCGTCCCAGGAGGCTTGAGTGCAGAAGTAGCCTGAGGGCAGGCTGAGAGGGACCAGAAATGGGTGGGCGGCCATTCAGCCCAGCGGCTGCCTGGTGAGTGGAGGGGCCCTCCTGGAGGACAGTGGGGCCCGTGGGCCCAGGTGGGGCCTTGAGAGTCCAGTGCCCCATCTCCCGTGGCAGCAGGTCCTGAAACACACACAGCAGCACACAGCTTGGTCACGCCTGCACGGCCCGTGACTGAGGATATCAGGCCTGTGAGCCTGGCCATGTGGGGCTGCAAGGACAAAGGCCTGAGTGGTGGCCGCGCCAGCGTCAGGCGGGAGTTGGAGCCGGGACGAGGCTCTGACCGGAATCTCTGGAGCAACCTCTCTGCCTCCAAGCCACGTGGGTCACATCCCTTGACGGGCAGACGCACAGTGGGCTGTACCTCCGGTAGATTCAGAACTGAGTCAGGGCCACATGCTGTTCCCAGCCAGGGCTCACAGGACGGACAGCCCAGAGCAGGATCCGTGGTGAGGCCCAGCTGAGGCTCCGTTCCCAGGAAAACCGTGTTCTATGGCCCAGGATCTGCCAAGGGCTCTCTGAGGTCTCCTCCCCACCACAATGAGCCTGGGGCCTTCAGCAGAACCCTTGGGCCCCTCAGCCAGGAGAGGCCCCCGCATCTAGACTTTGAGGGGACAGAGCAGACTCGAACGGCATCTGGCACCAGCGTTGGGTCCCATTCTTCTGGTTTTGCGAGTGGCCTGAGGTCTGACTTCTGCAGTGCCAAGCATGCAGGGGTCTGGTGTCCACGGGCGCCACAGCCCTGTGCACTGCAAGGCAGCTTCCTGGCCTCCCCCAGGGCACAGGAGGGGTCGCGTGCCACCGGGGTATGTCACCATGCAAAGCTGCGGGCTGAGCCAGCCGTGAGCTGGGGCTTTGCGGCACCTCACAGGCTGGCCCCGGGGCCCGGACAGCCCGGGGGGGGCATGGCATCCTTACGGGGAGGTGTGCGGACCCAGCCGTGAGCGGGGGCTTTGCGGCACCTAACAGGCTGGCTCGAGGCCATGAACAGCCAGGGGTGGACATGGCATCTTGACGTGGAGCTGCCTGGAAAGTGGGACGCCGGCGAGGGGCTCCACAGACGATGAGACTTGTGCGTGTCCCCATGCTTTCCCCATGGGAGGCCAGAACCCTCACACCACACCGCGGTGGTGTCCCCACAGATAGGTTCTGTGGACAAATGCTGGAACCGCCTCCTGATGTTGTGGGTGACACCTGTCAGGAGGACCCTCTGTGGGCCCGGAAGACGGCAGCTGTTCACGGACTACAGAGGTAATGGCCCTCCCGGCCTGCTAGGAGTGGTGCCGGGGCCTCGTGCTTGCCCTGGGACGTCGCGGCTCTCAGCAGCTCGCCGAGCTGTTCGTGGGACCTCTCTGCCGGTGCCTGTGGCTGGCTGCGAGGGCGTGGCACGCAGCTCCCCCGGCAGGCGTGCAGCTCCTTAGGGACGCCTGAGGACATGGACGAGGCCCCTGCGCGGACGGCTGGCGTCTCCGAGCTGAGCTGCCATGTGCCAGCCCTCGTCAGCCCTTTAGTAATAAAGGGCCGCCGACGATCCTGGGGGCCGGGGCTGACGCGGTGCCTGCAGCCCAGGGTGTGGCAAAGACAGTCCTGAGCTACTGGAGGCGGTCCCGTGAGACAGTCCCCACGTGTCCCCCACGGGCTGTGAGCCCTGCCTTCCGGAAAGAGCCACACAGCCCGGCCATGCAGCACCAGGACCCACCGCTGCCCTCGTTCCCCTCGGGATCGCGACAGGTGGCATTCGGTCAGGGAGGAGCGGTGGCCGCCAGGCGGGGGTTGGCACATGGCATGTTCCGGTGTGACGGGCGACACTGACGCGTGAAGCCCTGGCCTCGTGCTGGACTGCACACCCCATGCTCACTGCTCTGTCTGGAGGTGAGTGGACGCTGTGGGGACATCTGGGGAGACAGCTCAGGGCCTCCATGAGAAGATAACCCAGGCCAGGAGCCCGCGGGCAGAGGGGACGCCTGAGCAGAGGAAACTGAGGAAGCAGCAGGCAGCCAGAGGGCGAGATGGCAGGGGCTGTAGGAGGCCAGTGACTGCAAGGACCCATGGAGGTGAGTGGAGGGCCACACACCCAGGAGACCAAGCCTTCGAGCAGTGGGTGCTGGGGAGGAGGTACCCGCAGCAGTGCTGAATGCTGGGCAGGCCCAGGCGTGAGGTGGGCAGGGGGGCACAGTGTCCCCGTGCATATGGGACCCCGAGTGGGGGACCTCGTGGAGGCCAGGCAGCTGCCCAGAGGGGAGGGGCCCGCCGCAGGAGCCCTTGGGGACAGTGGTGCGCAGAGTGGCGACAGGGCCTGGGGCACAAGCCCGGTGTGAGGTCTCTGGGACACTGCGCTCCCGGGGTCACAGTAGCTCGAATGCATCCCGGTGTGTCGCCCCAGTGTCTAAAGCACAAACCCGAAGGTGCTCCCAGTGCCACACGGAGCCCCACTGGCCGGACGCGCCCTGGCCCAGGGGTTCTGAACGTCACCACGGAGGACGGGTTATTTGGGATGCCCGAGGTTGCCAGGTCACATGGGGAAGAGCAGTGGGGCAGGAGGTGGACTCGGATGACTCCGGCGGGGATGCAGCCCAGCTAGTGCTGAGGGGGTCCCTGTCTGCACGGTTCATTTCTCGTTCCCACGCATTTAGTTTTCATGAAGGATGAGACCATCTGCGCTGAGCGAGGGCGCAGCCTCAGTCCTCCACCCGAAAGCGACAGCCAGCACCCGAATAAAGCGACAGCCACCCGAGCCACCCGGGCGGGGCGTGTACCTGTCACAGACTTCACGATGACACTCATTCTCCTCCGCACCGAGTCGAAACTCAGAACCTCCAGCAATTCGAACCTGCAGGGGAACGCAAGGCCTGTCAGTGCCCATTAGCGGCACACGGCGGGCAGGCTTGCCCACGCACCTGCCCCTCACGGGGGACGCCGAGGTCCCAGATGCGGGTGTGGGTGGCTCCCACACAAGGCGCGGAGACCTCTGTATTTCACGTGACGTGGCCTGTCTGCTCCATGCTGCACCTCTAGGGCCCGGACGTGGTCCAGAGCTAAGTGGGCAGATGCGCAGTGCAGAGCTCTCGGCCGACTACACCGGCGTATGAGCCTCAGGCCGCAGACGGCACTGGTAGGGAGCCGCCTGGGCTCATGTTACCAGCGGCCTCACGGTGTCTGTGGCTGCAACGTGGACATCACCTCACCCCCCGGCCCTCGGAACTCGAGGCTGAGGGTATCCCGGGACGCCGGACTTGCAGCTGGGAGCCTCAACCTCGGCCGTGGCGATTTTACCCACTGCCCTGCAGGGAGACGCAGGTGGGGACCCGGCACTGAGGGAGGAGCCCAGCCACAGTCAGCCGGGAGCCCAGGGCCAGGCCCGAAGTGAAGGCGCCCAGACCCCTGGGGCTTAGTTTTCTTCAGAACAAAATTCGAAAACCCAGTTTTTCCAAGGTCATCGCCAAATTTAGGTCATGCCACCCACCTTTGCCCATGTCCACACCTGCGTGTTTACACGCATCTGCGAAGGACACGGTGCTACCCAGCTCCCAAGTCAGGCCCCAGACGTGTGGCTCGTCTCGGGAACTGCGACGCTCCCCACGATCACAAGCCTGTGTCACCATGGTCACCAACCGTCTAGGGACAGCTGGCCGTTCAACAGTGTACCCGCGGTGTCCAGCAGGACACCGTGTTCTGTGACACGCATGACCGGGGACGCAGCACACACCAGAGCCTCTGGCCAGAGCCTCGGGTTAGGGGTGGGCCACAACTGCCAAAGACTCTGCCTCCCTGAGTCTAGGCCCGTCTCCATGGATACGCTCCCGGAGGGAGACACCATGTCTCCAGGACGTGCCAGTGACATTCTCCGGGGATGGTGGGGAGTGGGGTGGGCCGTGCAGCCGCACAGGTAGCGAACTTCTGCAGGGCCCCGCGTCAGCGCCTGCCAGTGCCCGCCAGCACCCCCTACCTCTCGACGTCGTTCTCCCGGTTCAGGATCTCCATGTAGCTGTCCTTCAGCCGCAGGAACGTGAAGCCCAGCCTGCAATGAGACAGCGGGCTCACCCGGGACGTCGCCCGAGACCC